AATCCCAGACCAACAGAAGCGCAATTGCATCGCAAATGCCAATACGCAATGTTAGTCTTGCTATTGCCATCGACAATTATAAAATTCAAAACAAAAAAACGTCAGAGAGGAGGCATGCGGGTCAAGCGAGCTTCTACCAGACAAAAAATGCGTACCGGGCAGCTGGTCCGTGTGAGCTATCTGCGCCTCGTCTGCCTGCTGGTGATGGAAGAGCACACCGATCTGCTGGCCTTGCATGTGATGTCTGACAAACAGCCGCGCTACACTGTGCCCATCTTCTTCCTCATGTTGGCGACTCTGACTGCGAAATAGGCTGTTTTCACACACTCATGAAGGTTTGTACATGATAAGTTGGCTCACCATGCCAGTTACCCCAGCCAATGATCACTGAGAGGCTGTTTTGCGCCGCCGAATCACGAAGGCTACTGTTCATGGCCAGGACATCATGCGCCATGCGGGTCAAGTACTTTGACTCGTGCTGAGCCGATTCTTCCTTAGAGATGCTCACACCATCTTCGCATGACCGGCACAGCATCTGCGGCTCCTATGCAAGATTGCCTTGTGTGCCAAAACCTCAAAATTGTGCAGATTCAGGGCTTGGAAAGAAAGAAGCGCTGCACGATACTTGGCGGGGTCTGAGGCTGTGTTTTAAGGGACGGCTCCCTGCTTCATGCCATCGAAACTTAGGCCGGGTTCCGAAGACCCCCCGAAATTTCACAAAGTGCGGCTGCAGCTGCCACCTTGTGGACTTCTTGAAGAAGAAATTGGACGTTTTCAGTCTGCTTGTTCAGCTGCTCTTCCAGCCGGCTTTGCACCTCTTGATCATGAAAATGTTGTTCGCCATTTCTTTCCACCTTAGCTTTATAAATTTAAATTCTCGTGTTCCGCGGACTGAAGCTGTGGCAGTGAAGCATTTACGGTGAACATTGGGCGTGGATCACCATGTGTCTGTACGTACCTGCATGCTTTAAGACTTTAAGCCACCCGCGCTGAAACCACATGGCGCCATAGCGCCATATTGCATTCTGAGTGGCTTGTCTGGTCAGTTCGTCTCGCAGCTCCCGGATCATGTCAGTCTCCTCCCTCGAAGGCTGTGCAAATTCCTGCCCTCGGCTGCTATTATGCGGAGATGATCGTGGCATGTGCAGCCGGTCTCCATTTAAGCCTTTGTGCAGCTCAAACGCTCGCTTTCCTCCACCAAGCAGGACGCCAGCCTGCCAGAATCTGCCAGAGGCCACTCCGCAGATAGTGGTCAGAAATATGTCACAGATTGTCACAGTCATACTTCCCAAGTTGTCCCACAGCCTTGCCGGAAGCCTCGCTCTACCACATCCGCGCTGGTTTCCTGCACCGCCGGTAGCTGTAAAATGCACAACATTGCGAAGTTATTGCCATTGCAGAACCCTGAACTTTCTGAAGATCAGGGTCACCTTGCAACGACTTGAGCAATCGGACTCACCGGACACAGTTTTTCCCACAGTGTCGTCTCCGGACCATTTCGGACGTGGCCAGACAGGGCAATCCCGAGGGCAAAACGCAAACGGCGAGCACCGTTTTTCACAAACGAACTTGACTCAGGGAGTCAGTTGCTAAGGCATGCGTTGTGTGGAGTTGGGGACCAGCGACAGAACCAGCTACGATATGGATTCTTGGCCCGCAAGCCCAGAAGATAACCCCGTCACTGTGTGCCCTGCGGAATCAGCAAATTTACATAGTTGCTGTTTACCAGGCAATAGTTCTGTGAGGTGCATGCGGAACACGAAACGCAGGGCCTGCTTGCAATCAGCGTGTCGATATGTGACGGTTTTGTACGCTGCATTTGAGGCACGAAGCGCATCGAAACGTCAAGGTGCACCTGCAGGAAGGGTGCCGATATGTACGTATGAAGATATGTGCGTGTGTTTGTCTACTGGATGCTGAAGTTTGAAGCGCGAATGCTAGGGTGCCATCGCTTGTTGCAATCAGGGTTCAGATAGGGCAGTAAGTCAGAAGTCCAGTGTATGTGACATCGGTTTATGACACAACCGGGAACGTCAAAGGTATATAACAGTAAAGGAACCAGAGGCAGGGAGCGGGACACCGCGACCTACCCCTATTTAGACCCACAGCCACGTCACACTCATAGGTTCGAGTACAGTGTTCGAGTACATATTGGCCCTGGCATTGCCAAGACAGGCACGAGGCATCGTTCGCGGTATCGTTCGGGTATCGTTCCGATAACAATACAGACCCTCCAATTCAAAGTCCATTTCTTGAGGTTACGATGGAAATGGCAGTTCTGCGTTATCGCTGTGCCCTGCTGGAAGTTTCCGCGAAATGTGCGAGCTAGCCTCACGTGGCTGTCACCGAGAGATAGCGCTAATGAGACGTTCATGGGTGGATTTGTGACAACGGTATTGTTTCATCGCTGTGCCCTACGGGAAGACTCCATGAAACATGCAGTCTTGCAGAGTTTCAAGCTAGTCTCAAGCTGCCATCCTTACGAGGTAGAGAGTTTGTTCCTATCATTGTCGCATGTTTTGGGCCTTGTATGCTTTGGGTTTTTGGGTTCTCGGCTATCTTCTTGACATGTCGGGTTACCTTCTGTGCCTTGCGTTGGGCTATCTACAGGATGGTTGGGCTATGAAACCGAGTGTAAGTTTACCCATGAATCCTGGAGCGTCTGCGGCTGGTTCAGCCCACTCAGGTCGAAGTCTGCCATGCCCTGAGCCTGCTCGTCGCTGAAAGGTTGCTGGTAAGTCGTGCTGATGCTCCCCAGCGCCTGCAGCCAGTGGAAGCTGCACAACAACCGTCCGCCAAGGGTCTGGGATGTTCCGCGGGCTTGTTGCAGGCCACTTGGTTGAGCCATCTTCCGTTTAGTAGGAACTGTTATGCGTAAGAAACTTGTTGGACGCAAGTTGTAGGCCATCTCACCCGATTTCTATGATCTGCTCTGCTGCTTATTGCTCCATTTGATGGCGCGCTCCTGCGCTCTGAAGAACGTTAGCTCTTTATTAGGAACAGGGCACGGCAAACAGGAAGCCAAGGCAGCGACCTGCACAACTGTGGCCTACTGTGTGGCCTACCGTCAGTAGGGAAAGCTGAGTCAAGCACATTCATCCTGCTGGCGGCTGCAGGCAGCTGTGGATTGCTGGGTGTGTTCTGAGCCGCCATTGGTGCAACACTCCCCGTCCTTGGCTAGATGTTCGACCCGCTGACCTGCCAGAGTACATAATGGACCCTAAACCCTAAACCCTAAACCCTAAACCCCCGCTCTGAGAAGCCAGGGCTCGGCCATGCCAACAACCGCTTCTCCATTCCATTCAGCCGCTCCTCCAGCCGCGACTCCAAAGCGTCCAGCGTGTCTGGCAAGCAAATGCACACATCTGCACACAATCACACGGACACTAAGTACAACAGATCAGTAATTTCAGGAAACAGCGAAGATAGAACTCCTGCAAACAGATGTTGAGAGAGCAGAGTATGCGGCAGCTCAATTAGTTTCGCAATCCAGGACACTTTGCTTTGACAATTGCAACAGGACAGCTTTTGAAAGCTGAAGGTCTGAAACTTGAAGGGCTTTTGCGTAAGAAGCAAGAAACGGCCGAACGTGGCGTCATGCCTGCTCCCCGAATGTGCTGCTGCAGGATTGACACATCATCTGTCGCTGCATCGCAGCACCTTGGTGCAACTCTAGTAGTCTAGCTTCACTCGAACTACTTGCAGACAGCGGTTGGCAAAAGCTTGAACAGCAGTTCTGAGGGGTTTTGCTTTGCTGCAGCAAGTACTCGGGCATGACTTGTGAGTCCCGAAAGCCCCGATGTCGGAACCCTGTGCAGCTGCAAACAACACATCCAAATGCTGATTGAGCCCAGTGAGCCCCTAGATCTGCCCATAATACTGACCGTATGCTTTCTTGTCTGCTGGTTCGTGAATTGTACAAAGGAAGCACCCACCAAGCGTGAACGCAGCCTTCAATTTCATCTCTCATCTCGGACTCAAAGTTTGCAGCCACATATGCTTTAGAGCTGGTAGGTCAAAACAACCTAAGCAACACATGCCGGAGTGAACCAACTACAACTGTCGGATCGCATGAGCTTGCAGACCCAGAAATGCTCTGTCCCGCTGATCATCTGGGGGTGGCGGGAGGAAGTTCTTGTGACCAGGCAGTGAGCCCAGCCGGAAAGGAGTTAGTGTCACCCTGAGGACATGTCTGACATCAGGCATGCCTTGATTAGGCAAAGGAAGTGGAAGCTTGGCGTCAGTTTGGAATGTGCTTTTTTGGAATGCCGAGAACAGCCTGCAATGCAACGGGCAACCTGCAACTTACAACTTCAAGCCATGCCTCTCCACTGCCACATGGTGCACAGGTGCCAGTAGCAACAGTAGTGCGCAGAAGAGCATGGCTGGAGTAATGCCACCCTGGACTCTCTCGAAGTCTTCTGACTGGTGGTCTTCATTGCCTTGTATTCTTGGTCAACGTGGCACATTTATCAAGTCCGGACGTCGTGGTCGGACTTTTCTGTTCTGCAGAAAGTGTTGCTACAAACCTGTCGTGGGTCAGAGTTCAAGGTCCATCGGTTCAGTTGGCAGAAGTGCTGCGGAAGATGAATCACAGCTGAGATGGCACACGGTTGAACAATGCTTGGGGCATCCATGGTGCCCACTCGTGCGCTGCAAGGCATCACTATCGCGTCAAAGTCCTACGAATTCCCTGTCGCTAGTCCCACTTCCCTGAAACTTTGCTCAAACATGACACGACATGATGAAACAGTTCGAAGCTCTCAGGGTCCACGCACAAACAGACGAATGGTTCCTCGGATGGATGTTGCAACCCGCTGGGCGCCTGCGGCCGACAGAATTATTGCAACGACGACCGTGTACAGCGAGCGAATCTGTAGGCCGTGGGGATATCGGCGACTAGCATTGCAACTCGCCACCCTCATGTGCAAGCAGGTCAACAGACACTCTGTCGAGACGCAGGTCTGAAAATCAAGTTGTTTTTCTCCTTTGGCCATCGCTCACTTCACCTGGCAGCATGGTGCAGTTTCGGCCGGGATGCAGGGTTGAGATGCGCTGAAGCACACAGTGTCCCAAAAAGGCAATCCCTTAGGCAAGTCTGCTCGTGATCGCGGAGCGCGGTGCTTGGATCGACAAAGCTACTTCCGCTGCCCTGCTGCATCTTACAGCCTTCGCCTTGCTGTCCGCAAGCGAGCAAACCACGGAAAACTTGCAAGGAGACCCTGCTGAAGAAGCCTCGATTCAAGGACTAGCCTTTGACATAAGACATAAGCAAGCCATCGAGCGATTGGCCTTCACCGACGTGGTGGCAGCGAAGCGCTTGAAGACACCTAAGAGCCGTGGCGGCCAGCGTCGGAAGCCTGTTCTTGGAGGGATCACGGCGGCCGCGCCAAAGAAGTACAAAGGATCGGGCACAAGCAAATCATGCAAAGGTCCACTTTGTAGACGCTGCAGATAAAGTTGTGAAGTCCTAAGCCCATGCTCTCAGCAATGTCCTTGGCCCACCGGCCTGTCACCCAGTCGGCTGAGCGGTAGCGGTTGTCTGCAGCGGTGGCGCGGTCCCATTCCTTGACGCTCACAGCTTTCGCAAGAAAAAAGTACGGCGAGGGCTCGGCAGTGCCCTTCTCAAAAGCAGACACAACATAAAAATCATGTTGCTATTTATGATATGTGCAATATACATATGAATATATATATATATATGTATGTAACAATGGGTCTGTGGAACTGGCCCTTCAAATGAGATGACCGTTTGGATGTGTGCAGCCATCAATGTCACTGACAATGCCACTTCCTGTTTGACCGTGGTTTGCAAGAAGAAGGTGAGCTCTGACTGACGGTCCATTCAGGGCTGCCGGTTTTTTGAGGGAGCCTAGTGCCTTTCTCAATGCAAAGGTTCCTTTTCTTCGCCCTGCTACCAACACATCTGCCGAGGCCCCAAACCTAAGCCCATTGGGGCAAAAGAACAACTCGCCTCCTCCCACTGTGGCAGCAGCTTCTTTTGGTTCCAAACAAACACAGCATAGCGCAGCCACCAGCAGCCAAAGTGCACGTCCCATTTTTTTGGCCCGGGGTTCTGGTAGGGGGGTCGGTTCATGCGCCCACGGTCCCGTTATGTGAGCTTTTTGAGGCCAAGCGCTTGGACCGTCTGTGGACCTCGTCTGGACCCCCTATATGAACCCCCTCTAAAAACTTCTGGCGGACTCCGATAACCCAAGCCCTGTTTAAACTGGACATGCTGACTTCCGGACCCCCCCAATATTTGGACCCCTGCACCCTGATTGAAAAACTCCTTGGGCCGCCTCCTTTGGACCTGTATGGGGCCTCGGGACCGACTGTCGGGGGAATCCCCGATGAACGGGGCTTCTTGCCTGGACCCCGCTGAACCCATGGACTCAGCATCCCTAAGTTTATAACTATCAGGCCAAGCACCGATTCTCCGAGGATGGGATCCCCCTTGTCCCACATAATCAGCGCATAGGCCGCCCTCGCGTCAGGAAAAGCCTGCCGCTTCGGACACTCCCATTGTTCGGCCCTGACTGTTCATGCAGTAGACCACCTGGGTTGTGAGCCTCAGCATACTTTGCCAGCAGCTTGCGCAGCGTTCCAACGGCAGCGTCATCCTCGCCCAGCTCGTATTGAGCCTGCAAGAGTGCCGAAATCATGCTCATTTGGGTCCAGGAGAGGGACACACTCTGGATGGGGCCCAGCGGGTAATGATAACGATGATTCCGATGTCAGTTTCCTTGATCATTCCCGAAAAAGCACCCCACGGGTCCCTTACTGTGAAAGCAAAACGAGATCTTAAGACATATCGATACAACAACCACATAGCGAGACATGTCCCTGCGGTCCGGCCAGGGCAAGATTCACGCCAGCAAAGGCAGACTGCGAGCCCTCGATGTTGAGTGCCTGATAGGGGGCGACATGCAAGAGAATGCAAGGGACTGAAATCGATCCCTGCTCAAACACCCTGCCTGCTGAAAGCAGTCCTTGGCTTCTTCGAAGCGCTGGAGGCCTGCGCAATGTCACTGCTGTGCCAGACTGTCGAAGCTGGGCCTTTTGCCCCTGTCGTCCGATGCAGGCGCGTGCAACACACTCTTGTAGCCGTTGAGCCACCTCACCTGGCCTCGCACAACAGCCCCAAGCAACGGATCATCACAGTTCAAGTTCGGCCTAGCAGGGCATTGCCACGGTTGTTCCATGCTGCCGGGTCCTTGGCTCTTACGCTGCGCCATCGCGCAACAGGTTTCCAGTCTGCATAAGTATGCAACGCTAGGCCATGGATTGGGGCTGTTGAGGATCCCAGCAAGGCTTTCCGAAATGATCCGCGGACGATAAGTAAGAGCCGCCGGTAAGGTTAACCCCCTCTTGGCTCAAAGGTGACAAGTATGCTTGCTTGTATCGTCGCATGTCAAGCTCCCGTGCTGCCCAAAGACCAGCATCTGCAATGCATTTTGGGATTGGCGACAAACGAACTATTAATAATCTGCCGCCTCGGTTCGCCAGGGTCCTGTTGTAGAATGACATCCTCAGCTCAAGGGAAGAACAACGAAACACAACGAAACGATGATGCGCAAAGCAGCTCAAAGCAACTCAAAGCAACATGCCGAACATGCCCGCTTGGCCAAGAGGCGTAGTCTAAGAGGGCATCCTCCAGCCGACCCAAAGACTCGTAGATAGCCCCGCGGTTCAAGTGAGGATCGGCGGCCTGGGTTGACGTGTTTCTAACTTAATATCCGGAATATTCAGAGGGGCCAAACATCTACGTTCCTACTTGACCACAGCTAAACTGAAACATGCCAGGACTGATATCACCAAAGGAGTTGGCAATGTTCTGCCATTGCCTCCGGGACCAGCTCGATCGCACGGTTGTAGTCCTCTGTGCCATATAGCTGCTGCTCTTGTACGAAAGTGAACCCATCGTGAATCCGGCAGGAAGGGCCAGCATGCCCAATAAATCTCAAGAAGACAGCGGAGTGTCCAGCTCATGAGTGACAGTAACCTCGCATGCACAGGCACTGATGCACCTCGAGAGCTTCCTTCAGCTTGCCCTGGCGCGCTAGTGAATTCCCGCGGTTGGTGCGCACTCGAACCTCGCCACACTGCCGTCAAGGTCTTGCAACACATGTCATAGTGGAAGCATGGCGAACCAGATTGAGACTATCTTCTAAGTCCTCGATGTCTGGAAGGCCCGTAAAGCGATCCAACATCTTCGTCCACGCCGCCTGCTTGAAGAACCCTCGAACAGTGTAGCTCGGCTGACCTCCCAGCTCCCGCCAATGCCCAATGAGAGCCTCCTCCTCCTCGACTGTGGGAGCATTCATGGCCGCGTCGCCCATGCGCTGCACCTGCATCAGTTCCTATTTCATCTGCAGGCTGAGACGGGACTGTCTCTGCTTTCACCAAGATTGCCCGCCACACATTGTACACACCTGCTCTAATGTCCAGCGGAGTTAAAGTCTCAGCACGGCTCATAGGTCTATTGGTCATTTTCTATGCATTTGGACATAGCTTGATTTCATAGTTTCTTGATCACACAAGTAGACATGAAAGACAAATAATTGGAGAAAAAAGAACCCGTAGGCAATCCATCCTCTTGGTGCTCTGGGCCTCCTGGATAATGGCAATCTTGTCCTGCGGAGCGAATGAATGCCAATGCATGAGTTAGGAGGCGCAGGTGACAGGGATTTAGGGAGACGCAATGGCGGGAGTGCCGGCATGTTCGACGCCTTGCACGAGAGACGTGGATGTGTGGCTCCTGAATACTTCATATCTCCTAAACATGCTACCATACCTTGTCAGGCGTGTGGCTTGCTGCAATGACGGCCTAGTCCGGACACAAACACTGGGTAGTGACAGGTGACCCGACGTTGTTAACCCCTCACCGCCCTTACCCCACCCCCACCCTGCCCCACCCCACGAAAAACACCCAAACCCGCCCCCCACCCCGACCCAACCAACACCCCACTAGCAAGTGTTGGGCAATTTGCTGGAAATACCAGATTCTCGAAGAAAAAAGATGCTGCTTTTGGCCTGCCTCCGATGTTTACGCAGCCTTTGCGTTGACGTTTCTTCCCTCCATAAAAGACCGACTGCACTCCACTGCCCGAATAATATCGTAAAGATACTGGGGGTGGCCCGCCCTCCACCACACCCCGCCCCGTCACCACGCTGCACCCACGCCAAGCAAACGCCACCCAACCTGCTCTTGTGGAGTCGTGTCAGTCGGTCGGGATGTGGTGTTGTGCGTGTGGTGTGAGTTGACCCGGATGATCCGGACTTTGCTACCCCCCACCGACCGACAGCCCCCAAAGAACCGGGGTAAGGGTTTGGTTGACTGACATGACTCCAGAAAGGAGCTCAATAACTTCCGGGTTGACTGACACCCAGGTCGACTAAACCCAATGTGGGATGGAAGGGCCTACGAGAAAAAGAGACTGTGAAGCATGCGCGAGCATAGGGTCTTTCAACAGGAAACCCATATTGGAAAAACTTCTCTGAAAAAACCTCTCCTCGAAAAAATACGTCAACCCAAAGCCTGATTGTGCCCTCACAACAGCGATTTCATCAGATCATTTAGGGCTCCTTCGCACCGAAGCCCTGGCCCTCAGCAACCTACATCCCGACCGGGCAATGAAAGAGCTCCCATCACGAAAAGGCCACGAACTAAACCTGTGGTGGGAGCACGGCTCTGCCCCCAAAAAGGGCCCGGACTGTGGCGGGAGCTCGGTTCTATCCGATATTGGCACTGCACTGTGGTGGGAGAACGGTGTTCAAAAACGTGCATGGGACTGTGGCAAGACCATGGCTTTTGGCGTCTTGGGAGTCTTGGTAACTTGGTACCACCCCCAATGAAATTGAAACCCGCCGTTTGTAACTAACAAAAGTGCTGTTTCTGTGGAGTGGTTGCGATCACCTTGAGGCAAACACCCGCCATCTGCGACTACACACGTCCAAAACGCAGGGGTTCACAAATGACAGGAGTGCCCGATCCATGGCCGATATGCTTTGCATAACACGCATGTCCAACACGAAGCTGAGAACTTCCTCTGTTGACAAAGGGCTCTTCGTTCCAGCTGCTCTTGCTGGCCGAGCAAGCCCTGCGGGGCAAGACAGGGCAAGTCACCCTAACAAACTAACATATCTAACAATGCCTTCGAAGCATGTAATGATTGTAATTGTCATGTAATGTTTGAAAGATGCAAGTGAGCCGAGGCTCAAAAGACTGCGGCGCCCACAGCACCCAGAGTTCGTAGGGTCTGCGAGCGTGACAGCGGCTCGTTCAACGACCTCACCTCTGTGCAAGGTTATGCGCCTGTGTTTGCACCCACTGTTAATTTAAACTCCTCGAGCTCTTCCGCACAAACGATTCGTGCATTGTCTTGCGCCTGTCTCGGCCCTATGCAGGGCGTGACAGGCACGAGATGAAGAGGAGCTGGCTCCATGGCTGGTGAGATGTGGTCTGCGCTTGCCTGTCAGCCTGCTAAGCCAGCTGGAAGTCACTTCAGAGCCTGCGGTTATGGTCTATGGGGAGTCGATGCTTGACTAGATGATGCTGCACATCCTTGAGTTGAGAGTCTGAGCTCGCAGGCATGCCTGTCGTTTGCAAAAAAACCCTGCCACTGCGCTGCCCGTGCTCGATCAATTCTACACAGGCCCGTGTCACTGAGATCGCCCGGCTCCCAACAGAAACCTCGATACCCAAGCCTGCCTACTGCGCCTTGCGCGGCATCCAGCGCAATCGCCAACAGCTGAAACCTGAAAGAGTAGATTAGAAGCTCAGATAAGTAGCTGGCAGTCGACAACGGTTACGAAAAGAGACGCGTTCCAAAGCAATTGACCCATTCTGGGTGCCCAGCTCGCTGCACAGGCCCCTCCACATCAGGATGCAGACATCATCAGCCAGGAGCACTCTTTTGATATCCCATAACCCTCTAATGCAAAGGAGAAGTTCTACGCTCTTTTGGTTGGCCCCCCTCTACAAAACCAAGCTTCCAGGCTTCCCACAGGGTCCAGTGACTGTTTGGGGTCTTGGGTGTTCTTTACAGGTAAAGTTTCTGGGTGTCGTACACTTTCAAGTCCACTGCCGTGTCACCACCCCATCCCTTGGATCATAAATGAGTGAGTGAGTGAGTCAGTGGGAGTGGACCTGGGCTGCCCTCCAGCCTACAGAAACGGTCCGTCTCGCCTTCTCTGCCCCTCCGCATACATGCAGTGGCACACGCGAACCTCTATGGGCCCACCCTCCCTAAGCCGAGCGGCTTGGGTTGGAATTGGGCAGTGGGCCAGACAGCCCACTTCACACAATAACTAACTAACATACTAAGCTGGGGACACTGGCTCGAAGCATAGGGGGAGCGCACGGCACCGGCAGCAGGTCAATCGTGTTTTCTTGGTATTTGGGGCAATGCCTGAAGCTGAAGTCATCACCCCTTCTTCCGTTCTTTTGCGAGAGTGCGTCAACAAGAGCCTTTTGTAAGTTGAAGCCCTCCCAACCCCCCCACCCACCCACCCGCCAAGGAGGCACACTACCTCTTTACTCGAAAAGCCCGTGTTTTAGTACTGGCAGCTTCGCCTCAGCTTGACTGCCTTGCTAGCAGACTTTGAACGAGGGATGCTTTAGGTACAATGTTTTGAGCAGCCCACAGTTCGCTGCAGGCTGAAACGTAACCTTGTCCATGGCTGGGTCGCGCTTCGCCCGGTTGCTGCGAATCCCGATCCCCAGGTCGAGGCGGGCCGCGTAGCGATAAAAAAGTAGATGTATAAGCCTGTGAAACAGGCTCCAGCACAGGGCCTGTCCACCAGGCCGCTGATCGGCGATGTCAACGGCTTCAGCGTGCTGGACCTGCAAGCTGCATCTGCTCTCCAGCTACGCAAAGCGCACGATAGCCTGTGCCGTCTCACGAACGGAATTGCAATTGGAAGCCAATTGCAACACCATCCCCAAAAGTATGGCTTCGTCCTGCACTCTACCACTGCAGTACCTGCCTGGGATCGAAGCTCCGATCTCGTCGACCATTTTCCTAACCAAATTTCGGGACTACAGCGATGCAAAAGATACGTTCAACCAGCAGAGCGATCAACGTGATGCAGGCATGGGCCACTGAGAGTTGGGGCTCAAGTCGCACTGCAACCTTTCTTAATCGACAGGATTCACAGCACATGTGTATGCCGAGAAGTTGGAGACGTTCAGCGGTACATTGACGTGATTTCTGGCAAAAACATCAGCCAGTCTTTCGGGCAGCGTGCCATTCTGAGATGATGCCCTCTTTGCATGTATGGACAGAAACATGATGGGACATGCACAACGACACACTTGAATGCCATGCATTGCCATGCCTCAAGTTCAGAATGGCAACTTGGAGGTACAGCTGACAGGCCGGTAGGCCTTGCCAGCGAAGTTAAAACCCAAAAGGCGATTGCTTCGGCAACGGACTTAGCCGAAGCTGTGTGGGAGGAAATGTCGGCTGAGCAGGCAATGCTGGCAGCGCAGGTGTCTGTGTCACCTGAGGCTTCTCCACAACAATGCCAGTTTCCCCCAAGCGCCATACATAGTTGGCAATGCCAATACGGACGTCGGTGCCGGTGGTGAAGATCACCGTGCGGGGACGGCGCTGCGTGATGTCAAAGTCATCCTGCAACTCGAGGCCTCGGTTTTGAACAAAGTCCTGAATGCAGGAAAGCACCGTCTGCCTCATGTCATCATCGAGTTCTTGCACTGGACGGTTTATGGCCAGAACATGTGGGTTGGCTACGAAGGCCCGTGCCAGCTGAAACCGCCACTGCTCACTCGAACTGAGCCTGTCAGTCCAGTCTTCATCGTTATCCTCTATCGCCTCCTCCTCCCCCTCCTGCTCCTCGGGGGCGAAGCATCCGAAAGGATCCGGTGCTTCGGCGGGCTGTTCCGCCGCGGCGGCTCGCAGTGATTCGGCTTCAGATTCGTACATCTCCTGCAGGTGTGGTGCACAAGACTACATACCTACGCTCTCCCCCGCCCCCCCCCCCCCACAAATTTTTATCGTTGATCCATCACGGAAAGGTCCTTGATCCAGGACTTGTCAAGGCATAGGCGATGGAGGATTCGGAGGCCGCGCTCACTGTCCACATGCTTCAGCTCCTCTAATGTGCTGATCATGTGAAGATTGCAGAAGATGCCACTTGCCTGAACGAACAGTGGCTCATGCGGAACGTAGAGGATCTCCAGGTGTGGTGATACCAGGACTTGCCCAGAGGATGGTATGAGGTGCCCCACCACCAGCTGCAAGAGCGTCATTTTCCCACTGTCATGGGGCCCCGCAATCTGAATGATCGACCCCTGCCGTGCTTCTGTATGGAAAGCTTTGTTCCTTGTGTTCATGCTCGGGCTATGCGTCACAGTGGCGTCCGTGAAAGCCAAGGGGATGTCATCCATATTTGCGCCTTCAGGCATGTGTCTCATCCAGGCTAAAGCAAACCTCGGCTCGGCAAACACTCAGAACTCAGGAGCAAAAACATTGAAAAAGGAGGCAACGTGATTCATCGACACTGTTCATTTCAGTGTGTGTGTGTGTCTCTAGCGGCATAGGGTACAATGCAACTCGCATACCTAACGGGAGGGAAGAGGGTGAACATTGGCCCTCGGCTAACATGAGCGACTCGCTGCGCTAGCTGAAGCTAGCTGTCGTGATCTACTTTAGGCCCCTTTGGGCCTGCACTCGAGTTCAAGCCGAGGCCGAAAGCAGCTAAAAGCTCTGCACTTCCCATCCGCGCACGAAAGCCCGAGGCAGGAAATGTATTTCAATTCAATTGTGGGGCTCACTCACTCGCTGGCCCGCAGGGGGCATGCATCTACAGCACAAAAGCCACTACAGCAAAAACAACACGGGTGTCGTCAGCCCTGGTCACCCTAATTTAACTTCGCTGTCTTACAGCGTCAACCATGGCAGCCATGAATTGCCAACCAACACAGAGTAAGAAATAGAAGAAACAGTAGACCCACAACAGAAACAAGGCGCCTGGTCTGGTCTGCCACTTGACACCAAGCTCACCGATGCTGCCGGGCTGCGCCTCACGCATCTTGAAGTTGTCGTAGCTCCCCTTTTCGGTCTCGTAGTTCAACTGGAGGATAATCCCACATAATGGTGAGATCGACTTGCTGAGTGCCGTGAAGCCTTTTAAGATTGTCGAGAATCTGTCGCCCAGATCCTGCGGCAGATTGCATTTTTAATGGCTAAGTTTGACACGGCAACTGCTGCAGTTACCTGGGTCCTTGTATACGTTTACAGTGGCCAGGAAGGAACCAAGTGAAGTTGCACCAGTAAGTACCACGCGGGTTGACATTCCCATGTAAGTGCCGATGGCAAGGAGAGTGATCCATGGAATGAGTTGTGAGTTCCAGAACTGGAACCGTTTGAGCTCCATCGTCAGTGCGCCTGAGCTGGACAGCGCAGCATTGAAGGATCAGCGGCCGGACAGCGCCAAGCTGTGAACCCTGAACCCGACAAACTTTGACATACAAGACATACCCTTCCGCGTTCCTGTTCCAAAAGAAAACCATAGAAACACTGGAAAAACGTTCAAAGCCCTGCCCCCCCTCCCCCCCCCCCAAACACAGTGACATCCACAAACTACTGCTACCTGCGCGGCGCACTTGCATTTCTGCGGGCCAACCCCGTGAACAATCATGGAGCCCATATATTGACACACTGCAACTCACAGCATCCGTGCTTTATTCGGACCGGCACACGCTGCTGGCGCAAAATGTCCTGTGGGAAGGTTGGACTGCTGGCGTGATGTTCAGGAAGTTGCTGCGACTAAGCTGTTGACTCTTGAACTTTTGACTAGCTCTGTATGGCACAATGCTGCCAGCGGCCCCCCCGGCCTCGAAGTTGCGCACTGCCGGGGATTGAGTGCCATACATCTGAATTACGCGCCGTGAAGTGTTCAGATTCATGACAGCTCCTGCGGCTCCCAGGGCGGTCTCTACTGCGCAATGCCAATGATCTCTGATTCTGCCCTCTTGTCGACCGTCAACATTAAATCGAGATCAGCTGACGGGACCTGCCGTGGCTGCAGTTCGGTCCTGTGGTGTTGCTTTGTCCTTCACCTTCTTTTGCCATAAGGTCTAGCCGTTTGGAATACCTCAGATGGCAGAAAGATGCTGAATACATGGAAGGTTTGAACTGGAGCGCCTTCCTTACTGCAGCCGCACGACGTGCACTTCAGGAATATGGCCATGATCAGCGGATACACTAAGAGCGGGATGCCACTCTCCGGATGCTTCCGCAACATGAAATATGCAATGCACGCAATCTTGCCCAACATGGCCCACAGCTCAAAGAGTATCAAATAGCCTTCCTCGACTAGCTCTGGGATGTCATCCATCATGCTAATCTTCAGATCCTGTACCGGCACTTTTGCCCGAGACTGGGCGGTGTAATGAAGGTACTTTCGGAAGAGATTCACTCGCAAGTAGTAGCGAATGTTGAAGCCCATCTCTAGAACAGCCATTTGAAAGTAGTCAGCCGCCAGGAGGATGAAATTGGGAAGAATCCACGCAGCACCAAGCGCTGCTGCTGTAAGGTACGGATCCCCAGGGAACAGCAGTCGCGATGAGCTCTCCGGATGGCTTGTGTCAAGTACTGTGTCAACTAAGTACACACGAATAAAGATTGTGGCCAAATAATAAGCGTTGCCGAGCATTGATAATAGGAGAACCAGGTTAGACTTCCACCAGATCTCACGAACGTGCCTGTAGCAGAACACGATAAAGGCCCATAGCACACCCCAGCCAATGGCGTAAAGTTTAGCCTCATCCTCCTTCTTCAGGACTTCCTCCCATTCATTTGAAGGAAACATATCATCATCATGGATCATCACGTCAGAGCGGGCACCCGCTGGGTCGATGATGCAATTGACGGCATCCGAGAGGACGACTTGAAACTCTAAGTTTGAATCAAAGAAGTCATCATTGATGATCTGCACCTGCTCAGAAGGGGCTGATGGTCGCTCGGCTAACTACGCGGTAGCTACTCTATGCATACACGGTGGGAAGCCATTGAACCTCGAATGATCGGACAGACTCGCCAGGGCCAAATACGAGAGTGCCAGCACCAGCTTGGTACCTTGGATGCTCGCTACTCCCTTGTTTAGGGGTTAAGGGTTTAGGGTTTAGGGTCCTGTAACCTTATTTAGGGCACTTAGAACCTTATTAAGGGTACCTAGAACCTTCTTATTTAGCGTGCTTAATAACCTTATTTAGGGTACCTAGAACCTTATGCGGATTGGCCAGGACTCCCCTGATGCCTGGCTCCAACAGGAACAGTAGTTATAATAGTAATAACAACATTACTAATAATACTAAAACCAATATGAATTTAAAAATAATCATCATAGGAAGAAGAAGAATAAAGCAATACTAATTTGAATAATATTAATAATAATAACAATAATGCAAATATTCATAGTAATAATAGTATGGTTTGCAGTGTGTCTTGAGTTGACGGTGCACCAATTTTGTCATTCCACGATTTGTTGCCGCGAGGTGCACTGACCTTTTTGCTTCTGCAGGAGGAACCTGCAAAAGAAAAGTATGACGTCTGTCGCGGTGCTGATCTGGAATGCAGGTGTCGCAAATTTCAATCTTGCATGCCCATGGGCAGATGGAGACTGGTTTGCTCGAACTTTATTCTGACATGCTGCAGAAACATAGAGCAGCGCTGAGATTGGAGTCTCGAAGGATGAGGACGAAACATTTTTAGAGAAGTACTGCATGTCTGTAACTACTGTGTCTTCCTTCGTTGTCCTTCGTTCGTCAGGCCGAGGGGCTTCTCGCCTTTGTGCGCAGAACCGTCTTCTGATCTCCAATTCACGCTGCATTCGCCATGCAGGGCGCCGATCCGCACGACTCGTATAACTGCATTCTCCTTCCGGGCAATGCTCGCGAAGGTGTGTCTGCATGCAACCACTTGCAATAGCTTCAGGGACAGAACAGCTTTTGTACACAAGAGCCGATGCTTTTCACAGGAACCATGGACCATGGCAGGTAAAAGCCGACTCCTCCTCAGTGGTGTAGAAGGACTTCGAGATAAATTGCACCATGTCTCGGCTTTGTCGGGTTTCTTCTCGGGTTAGCCTGCGGCTCCAGACGTTTTCAGAGAGCAGCTGCGGCCAAACAATGTCAAACACGACTATGGGTGCATGAAATAGCATGAAATCACAAGTTCAAGCATCCTCACAAGAAATCAACGGTGCAAGGCCAGTCCAGGACAATAATTTTGCATGGACAGGAGAGAATAGAGCTGAACAGGTCAGCGCATCGTGTCGTGGGTTCACTAGTGCCCGAGATCACAATGCACAACCGAAGACCATGGACTGCTGTGACTATCTAAGCAACAGCAGCTTCGCAACATGTCAAATGTCTGAAGCTCGAGCTGAGGGCGATTGCCTACTGGCTGCCTGTGACTGTTTCATGCTGTGCTTTGCAGTGGCTGGACAAGCACGGTGTTGCAACAAGCAGCTAGTTTCGTTGACACCTCCTTTCTAGCAGGGCGGAGGTCAGCACTTGCATCCACCTCGTTCCCTGATATGGACCTTGTGCATGTAAGTCCCGTGCAGCCCTCCCATGGCGCAAACGGCTCCGTAACATGTGTTCGCGCTTCGTCTGGTCTTGTAGTAGTTGCAAGCGATCTGTCTGCTGGGAACACTTGTCAAGAGGTGACGATGCCTTTGCACTTGGAGTTTGATCCTCTCTTTTTGGAGGGTGGCGGGTGGGGGGTGGCCTCCCTCAGGCAGCCCTGCAACTTGCAAGCTCCAAAAGCGACACAAGGATGGCGACTCCAACACCGCTGATCCTTGCACACACCCGACAAGAGAAATGGTTCGGAGGGGGGGAGAGATGTTTGTTGGTACTTCGTTGTGTTAAGTCTTGGGCAGGGATTTCATCATGTGTCTTGTCCAGAAAGGGATGGGTTGGCGCGGGGAAGCTCTGCGTGTGAACTCATGGATGAAAATGAGAACAGGCATCTTTTATCTTTGCAGCTTCGCAATACTGTTGAAACGCGACGACAAGTTCGAGCTCCAAAAGGAACGACGGGGGTGTGGAGGGGGGTGGTGGGGGTGGCGTGGGGTGAGCTTGTGAGTGAGCTTGTGATCTTGAAGGTTTATGATTTGGGGATTTTGCGGCTTTGGTGTGTCTTTACGGACTAAGGGCCTTCGTCCCGCCATATTCAGACGCACCTGTACGACTGATGCACGTAACACAGCTGCGAGACCTGTGATCAACTTCCCATGCTTGCAGGTGGGAATTACAGCTGGGCTCTGTTGCGGTTCCCGCAAAAAAAATGTGCTCCCGCAGAAAGACCGTGGCGTGGTCATAAAGGAATATGGCTAAGGGTGGCGACAGGACATGGCCAAAAGGAAACAAGAGGACCAGAAACAAAGTGTAGTTAATAAGGCGATCAATAGTTCCGAGTCTTGACATGCAGGGGTTGCTGTCGTGCATCTTTGGTAGGGCTTAAGAACTGCGAGGCTGGAACATCTTGTAATGCCCACACTCAAAATCAGAATGACATCGAGTTTGCGCCTTCTCTGCACTCTCGCTGAAACTGGCGCAGTAGGTGTCTCCACTGAAGAGGCCATCACTGGGCGCAAAGCCGAGTAAGAGTACTGAACCTGCGCATCACCTGCAAGCTTGAAGGATGAAGCCATGATGCAATCTACCTGACTCGGCAAATTTTTTCTGCGTCCAGTACAAGACAGTGCAGGAAAGGCAGGAATCGAAACGTGAACAGGTGACCGGATTGCGCGAACCGTTCCGGGGTAGGAAACGTGCGCGAACCGGAACCGCCGGAACCACGCCCCTTACCTCCGCCACGTTTTGTTGCAACGCAGACACTAGGAGAACGCGGGGACACTCAGAGCTCACTCACGCATGATCGTCACCTGCTGGGATTCTTTCCAATAATACCCTTGTCCCCTCTGTCCCATGTGGGCCGTATGCGCATGGATTGGCAAGATTGAAGATGCTGGGCTTCAGTCGTCGGTTATAGCACATGAAACACTGGCTGGCTAGCGCAACACACGAAGTGGACACGGCTGAAACATGTTCTGTTGTTGCCCGCGCGACTCCAGTGTACCTCGCCGCTGCTCAAGATCAGCGACGCTTGCCTGCGTTTGACCCGTATTTTGTTCCGGCAGCATGCAGCACCTCCAGCCCTCCTCCCACCGCCCCTTCACTCTGGAAATGTGGAGAGTTGGAGAGGTGGAGATGTTGGAGGGCGGGGTGGATGGTGGGGCATGCGGTGCTCTCGAGGCGTGACGGGGTGCGAAACGTGCGGCCGTGCAACGCGAATCGCCGCCCCGAACCGAAACACAACCAAACCGGAACAAAACCAAACGAACCATACCTGGCTGACAGGGGCATGGTGGCCGGGGGGCCTTTGCAAGGTGCCGCGTTGCTGCTAGCTGCAGGATCTGACAGCACTGCAAAAACTCTTATACAGTTCAAGTTGACGTATTGCAGCTGCAATAGCCACGCACTCCACTCACAGAAAAGATGCCATAGTATCACGACTGAGGCCAGCTACTGAATAAACGTTTCTCGACAACAGCCTGTTAGAAGCAATCATGATAGAAATGATGTGAGATAATCCTACAGTATCACATACAGAAGCGTAGGGCTTTCGTGCTGCAGAGGCACGGCCTTGACGGTACGTTGCCATCGACGGCACGATGCTGCGCGGATGTTGGCTTCCTTTTCCTTCTGGCTAACACCCCCGGGCGCCCGGATTGCTTCCCGGGGCCTTCGAGCCATATGTCCTGGAGGCTCTACTTACATCATGAAGATTTGGGAAGTCAAGCGTTGTGTGAAGGCACCTGTGCAGCTCGAAACTCAATGAGCAGGGCAACCCAGCATCTCTTGCGTCATTTTTTCTGGGCATGAAGTCCACTAGAAGGAAACCCATATCCACGAGCCCCTCTTGTAGAGACTGAGAACTATTAGCAGCAAACGTTTGGAAGTGTTCCTATTTCAGCGGCTTGTGCGCCACGACAATCGACACGGCCGTGAGCAAGGTTCATGGCCTGCGCGGGGGACACTTTTCGACAATAACTCCCTGGTCAGGCGTCACCTGCCACACGTAATCTGCGATGTCAAAATGCTCGTGGCTTCCAGTTGTGAAGATCACCGTGCGAGGGCGTCGCTTTGATGTATCCAGGCCGCCTTCCACATCCAAGCCCCTCCTCTGCACAAACTCTTGAAGGCATGACAGGACCACCTGTCTTACTTCACCGTTCAGCTCTTGCACGGGGCGATGTATGGCCAGGACGTGTGGATTGTGAAGGAGAGCGCGCGCCAGCTGGAAGCGCCACTTCTCACTGGTGCTAAGCCTGCTTATCCAAGGAATTCCTTCATCTTCATCATCTTCCTCATCCTCGTCTGCATCACCGGCTTCCCCATCCCAACACCACAAGCCATTAGGCGACGCAGCTTCTCGGCCGGCACTTGCAGCTTTGTGAAGTGCTTGCGCTTCAGCATCGTACATGTCCTGCTTGGTCCCGCAAACTCGTAGCTGTATGATAACCCGTACATATATACCTATACATATATATATATATATATATATATATATATTTTTTTTTATTTATATTTCTATCTATTTGTATTTGTTTTTTTTATATGTATACGCATGTGTGTGTGCTTAAATATGCACAAAGCATCGGCGGTCACGAACGAAAAATGAATGCTTTCCGGAAGCTTTCCGGTACCAGTGACAGGCCTCGTTTGAAGGCCTTTCAATGCCCATCTATATCGATTCTCGATGCGACAGTCTTCATTCATTAACAATGCGAGTTAGTTAATGCCGATAACCCCAAATATTGAGGGTTAAAGATAATAACAAAAGATGGTGCTTGTCACAGCGCATGTTTGAATTCAGTTGAACGGAACTGCCCGTACTCATATCAACTGGATTGTGTCCATTTGGCAAACTTATGTTTGCAAATCCAAGGGGTGGGGTGGGCGGTGGGGCTGAGGCAAGTGGGGTCCCGTTCAAGTAAGAACGTGAGTCATATGAAACTTCTAGATGACAAGTTTGCATTCGCTTGGGGAACTGAACCCCAAAATAGATTTGCCTCAATCTGGACTAACATGCTGTCCCACCGAAAGCAAACGAAACAGAGCAATGTGGAGCTTAACTAACTTGTTGCCACCGGGCACATGCGTACACTGCAGGGACGACCTCAGAGAACTTAGACCAGGTCGGCTGCTGGAGAAGGCCAAGTCTTGGAGTCCAAAGCCCCACACAAACCACAAGTATTCATCCAGCAAGGACACTCAGAAGCTTTGGCCCATGGGAGTCATGGGAGGTTCATCACTCCCGAGTCTCTTCCCAGGGAGATGCCCAATAAACTGCTACTCAGTTACTCACAAGTCAACGCAAAATCAACCTTTACAACTCCAACCTTCTGCAGACTGCATAGGCTGTTACTTTGCCCCAAACTGACCTACCCTTTCGAGTCCAGAAGTCCAAATGCCAAACCTCCACAAGCCGAAAAGTCACAATTTTTCGGGTTCAAAAGCCCGAGAGTCTAAATTGGCCTCCAAAACGCCAGAGACTGATGGGCGTCCGAAGTTTAGACTTTTGACGTGTCAGGGGGAGGGTGTTGGCGCAAGAGAAAGAGAGAAAGAGAGAGAGAGAGAGAAAGAGAGAGAGAGATCATACAAAACAGTGGAGACAAAAAAGCAACCCACTAATCGTCCACCTAAATCGTCCACCTGTTTGATCACATCATCTTCACATCCAGCAGCGAACTGAGAACCTCTGCCCTTGCTATGCCTCAACAAGACACACGACGAGCGCCAAACGTCTCCTTGATCCATCTTTTGTCCAGACGAAGTTTTCTCAGCATGAAGGCCCCTCGAACGTACATCTCTGGTGAAAACTGCTCGGGGTCAAATGTCCTGGCCAGCTTGGTTCTCGAGATTTGTCGAGGCTGTTTGCAAGGTGCAAGCAAAGTGCAAGGGTTCTCTCTTTGCAAGGCTGTGCCGCGAAAGGCCAGACTGAAACCCGAAATCCGACCGGTCCCATCGTGGTGCGGACAAGTCATATGCAGGTTCTCGAAGAATGACAAGCTGTCTGCGAACAGCGGAAGGTGAGGTACATGCAGTAGGTGCCTGCCCCGGAACGTATGTGCACATCCAGGTCACGCATGTGTTAATAATGGTAAAGGGTATAGTTACAGCGAACCAGAAAAGATAGCTTCGAACTTGCAAAGTCTGTCTCTGACACATGCTCACAACTCATGGGCATGAACTGAAGCATGCATTACACATGTCATCAGATGGTTGCATATGTAAGTACAGAAACATACATATGGCTGTGAGTTGAAACAAGTATGTCGCGGTCTCCCATCGCCCATCCCCTCCCTACTTCGTTACACTCGCCTTTTCCCTTGTTCATGACAAATGTGCAGCTAAGACTCAGGTGAGGCGACACGAGCACTGCGCCGGAGGATGGCGAGATCTCATCACAGATCAGGCTCAACATGGTCATCTTGCCCGAGTCGTGGGGTCCAGCAATCCTCGACATGAAGTTCACCATAGCTCACCCTAACAGCTGCCTCTCAAACCGAAACGGTCCAAAATTGACATCAAGCCATCGCCCCTCCCCCCCCCCCCCCCACCAGGTGAGGCAAACCAACCATCACAAGGATGCCAGACAATGGCTAGGCGCTGGATGATTGTTCCTTGCTGTGCCTGTGCCGAAAAGCCCCCAATTGCAACATTCATGCATGGAGAATACGCCACTTGCGCGTCCTGCCAAGCGGGTGCCCGATATTTGTATATATATATATATATCTATCTATATCTCTCTCTCATCTTTTTGACATACAAATATCATCAATTATCTGTATAGGTGGTCGCAACCTGAGTTGCATCCTTGTTCTGTGCTACTGTGTCTAGAATCACATTCACACGCGCGTGGTTTTACGTTGTCGCTCCCCTGGCCTTCAAATGGCTAAAGACTTTTTTAGGACACTTTAAACCAACAAACCTTACCCTCCCCCACCCGTTTTTTCTTTCAAGGTTTCAAGCAAGACAACAAATCTTGAAGGGGAAAACAAAACCTGTCCAATAGAACATACAGGTCCTCCATACACATGAATTTCTAGAGAGTGCCTTTCTGCAGACAAGGACCCGTTTGCATATACATATATATATATATATACATGTATATACATACAGTCACACAAATGCATATGTATGTGTGTGGGCATACGCAATACCAAGATTTGCAACGCGAAGGCGAAACACCTTGCCGCTCGTGCATCCAGACACGAACCATCAACAACACCAGGCCGGTCACCTTTCGAGCAGGTGGTATCACCAGGTGATGAAGTACCGTGGGTCATGCATATGATACTTCCTTATACTTTGCGAATTATTGATGGGCATCGTCCTGAAACACAATTGGGATGTCGTCCAACGAAGCTTGCCTCGAAGCATGTTCTTTCAACCAGTCAAGTGCAAACCTTAGCGAGCGATTTCCAATTTGCAGCACCCTCGGCTTCTCTCAATGCCAATTGCAATCTCTTTGTTGCCAAGGTGCTCCTCTCGCCTCCGGAAGCCTTCTGTACGGTCTGGCACGTCAGTTGGGAAACTGTACTGGAGGGTTAGGCCGCAAAGCGGAGAGATGGCTTTGCCTTAGCTCAACATTGCTTTGGCGCGTCCAGCATGCAGATACGGGTCGCACATGTTGCCCCCTGTTTGGTAGGGATCCCCGCCTATTCAGGACACTGTCGGAGTGGGCTCCCTTATCAAGTCGAGTTGTTCTCGGGATCCGATACGTTTTTCAAGGACTTGGACTTGCTTTCAAATCAAGTTAGAATCTGGGGGGGACCGTTTGAAGAAGGATAGAACCAGCTTCGACTGTTAGTAGGGGGGGGGGTAACAGACTAAAGCGGCTGCAAACATTACATGATGCCTCAAAGCAGCGCCGAACGGCCGGGCCAGGCTAGGTGCATCTCCCGACATGCTCTGTTTTTGACCAGTGCTGCTGCGGCAGTGTGGCTCGTCTCAGGGTCCGTGAACAAGTTGCAGTGGCGAGCTTGAGCACCAGCACAAGCAAGACATAACGACTTTTGCTTTCGGTTGAAGAACGCTATGACCGAATCGCATGCGCATGGACATTAGCTAGTCAGCGTGAGAAATCAGAAGCTCTGCATGCTACCGATATCTACCGATGAAACGTCGGCAATTGCTGTATCTACCGCTGAAACGCCGGCAATTGCTGTCGGAGGTTGCGGTTACATGTTCCACTCTTACCAACTAACGCTACAACTCTGGCCCTCTGAGTTGAAGTTATCTAACTGGTGTAGCATGCGATGATAGCGCCGAAGCAGCGCAAAGTATGATGTGCGAGCGCAACAGTAACAAACTCCTCCTGCTTGCCTATACGGGCCAATACCTCCCCGACACTTAGGGCCCGCCCTTGCTTGGAAAAAGCCAGGGAAGGTGTAGCAGCTTCTGTCAAGCTGCTTAGAGATGTAAAGCCACGCAGGATGGTGGAGAATCGATCTCCCAGGTCCTTCGGGTGCAGGAGAACCCTCGTGAGCCTGTGGTTACCACACCACAGCTGGCGCGAGAAGCGTCTTGCAAATTATTATGTTTAGGGCAATCCCAGACCCGTTTCTGTGCCGATGTTCCTACCCAGGTCGGACAGCGGCGCAGAAACAACTCGTGCCATCCTTGTACACATTGATGGTGGCCAGGAAAGACCCCAGGGAAGTGTTCCCGGAGAGCACCACTCTCGATGACAGTGCCATGTAGGTGCCTTGCGGTCCCAAGCGCCAATGGCTCTCTACTGTTCGATCTGTACTGACTAGCGCTCGTGCAGCTGAGGCGATGATAGGGCACTGTTGGCCTTCTCTGCTACATTGCATGATGTTACATGATGTTGCATTCTGTTAGCTGTCGGATGAATCTGGTGTCCAGGGTCTGGCGTCAGTTCTGGTCGCACATAGGCGAGATTGGCTCCTGACAATGCCTCCGCTGTTTCCCTGCAAACTACGCTGTAGTAAGATCGGTGTTCCAAATGCATGAGATGATAATGGTGCAAGTCTTATTGATGTTTAAGAGCGTAAATTACTCGATTCCTGAGTTGGTCAGCGGCATCAACTATTGGCATCTAGAAGTCTAGAACTAGTTACATTCACATGGCCTGCTGCACCTGCGTTTCACCTTGAATGAAGAAGTCAATAAGTGCTTCTCAGGGACCTATGGCCAGCAGGGTGATCCAAGGGATCAGCTGCGAGTTCCAGAACTCGAAGCATTTCAGTTCCATAGTGAGGCTGCCTGCAGTTCAAGGAATGTGCAAATGACTTTGCCGCCCCCCCCCCCAACCTCTGATCAAAGGCCTATGCCCGAGAAAAGAATGGACAAGCCAACAGCTGCGTGCCAATGGCTAGACTTGATGTCTGCTGGAAAGCGAAACATCTGGCTGATTCTGGAGTTCGGCAGAAGCAATCCCAAAATGCAGCGGAAGGCACGCTGGTGCCTCAGGATGTGTTCCTGACTCCATGCACGCAAACACACAAGTATGGCAGGCCATGCCCGCTACTGTCAAACACTTCTTCGCAACCGCGCTTCGGGCACACCTGTTGGCGCGCGCTGAACAAAAGCCCACTTAGGCGTGCATGACCTGGTTGTGGCCCCCGCCACCACCTCAGCCCTGGCTTTGCGGGACCAAGGGCCTCGAAGACCTTCTTCCAGAACTACTCAGCTGCCAGTCTCCGACTGACAAGCTCGCATGACTCGCGAGACGGTCCGCTTGCCTGCGCAGCCTCACTCCTAAGCCTTGGGGCTCCCCCGCATGAAGCATCTGCAGTTAGTCGGGCCGCGCGGGGGCGACAGAAACAATGGCTTTAGCTCTATGTAGATTCAGAAGATGTGACCTGCCCCTGTCCGCAAAACAAAACCCTCACGCCCCCTTTATCCGTGAGAGCCAGAACCCCTCTTCTTCCCGCTCTCTCTCTCTCTCTCTTGCTCCGCTTTTGTTTCTTCTTCTTCTGCTTCTTCTTCTTCTTATTCTTGCTTCTGCTTCTGCTTCTGCAGGGCGTGCCCGAGTCTCGAGGCTGGTATCGACACGCGGTTGAAAACATGGGGGGCGGCGCTTAGACGACTGGAGAAACAAATTTAAGCCAGCAAGTACTCGATCCTGAGTTGCGCCCGAGAAATCGTGGGAAACACGTGCAGTGCCTGACTTGAAGTGATTTCAGCATCTCCTTCCCCTCCTTGCGGTGTCTCACAGCTGATTTGAACGTCTAACTTCTTTTCAAGGCCCCTTGGCTGGATCATTGCCCCGGGGCAAGGGGCTTTCTCGGCTTGAAAAGTATGGTAGCGAATGCCAGGCTTCCCCGAACTGCTTACGACACGAGAGCACCCCTTCCCCTAAAATCGACCCTTCCCCGCTCTCGCGCTCTGTCTCCGTCTCCGTCGTAGTCGTCTTCTTCTTCTTCTTCTTCTTCTTCTTCCTCTTCTTCTTCTGGGTTAGGGACGAACACCCGCACTCTCACGGACCTGCGTTGCCTTACTTGGAAGTAGTCTTTTCAATGGCAAGTGTCGAAGCAGCTAACCACATATCCTCTGGCCCCATAGTAGTTGACCAGCCGCTGCGCTGTATGCAAATGCCTCGGTTGAACTCAGCAGTGCTCTCAGCAGAGCTTGTGCCAAGCTGACCGAGCTGACCGAACTGACCGAAGAGCGCGGGGGCACGCGCAGGCTGCCCCGAGCTACAAGATCCAAAAAAGCGCATTCGGGAGGGACATGCAGGATGCATATACTCGCTCTCTGAATTGGGTTGCAGATAAATGTGGACTCAAGGTTTCGCACATTACAAGGTCAGACAACTTGCCTCGTACATGCCTTGAGCCTGTGTCATGAGGACTTTTTTGGGATGATGCAAGATGCTGCAAGCCCAAGTGTCGACAATTTGCACGTCTTCAGGTCTTGGGCATGCTGTGTGTCTGTTGAGGTGGACCGGCCCACTGGAATTCACGCTTGGCGCCACTGGCAGTAAGCCTGTTCCATTCATATTTTGAATCTGAACTGAAGGTGTCATCCAGACGACAGGCACACATTGTCTCTCTACTCACAGAATCTGATTCGGAATATTCTGCAGTGACAAGCTCAAAACGAAGTAGGCGATAATCTAGGACAATCTATAAGTAGAGATCGGGAACGAACAATTTCAGAATAGCATGTGTGCGTCTATGTATATGTATATATGTGTGTATATATATATGCATGCTACATGCATGTAGAGCTTTCGTCAGGAAGGCAGTCCCCTGCCGAGGAGCATGATGGCACCCGTCGTGTCGCTTTGGCCTTCGCCTTCTTTGGCCATGAGTTCCAGGCGCTTCGCGTACCTCACATTCACAGGATGCCATCCCCGTCACCCACATAAACGCGCCCCACAACCAAAGAGCAAAGCACTTCGAAAGCGACCCCAATGCGTGCTGAAGCAAGGCAGTACCATTGCGCAAAGTGATAATTTTCTGTACCGCTAATTTAAAACCAGGCCAAGGCGTTGCACAACGTTGACTCGAGAACTCAAGAACATAAACTTCCTTCGGCAGGCACGACAACTGCCAGGGCGCGTGCACTGCAAGTATACAAAGATCAGAAGTGGATACACGAATAGTGGGATGGCGCTCTCCGGATGCTTCCGAAGCATGAAAAACGCGATGCATGCAATCTTGCCCAGCATAGCCCACAACTCAAAGATGATGAGGTAGCCCTGCGACACCAGTTCAGGGATATCCTCCATCATGCTTATCTTGAGGTCCTGTAAAGGCACTTTGTGATGAGAGCTCTCGGTGTAATTCAGGTACTTGCGAAAGAGGTTTACCCGTAAATGGTAGCGGATGTTGAATCCCATCTCCAACACAGCCATCTCAAAGTAGTCAGAGCCCAACAAAATGAAATTGGGCAGAATCCAGGCAAGACCCAAAGCCACAGAAGTGCTGTTCCGATCTCCAGGAAACCAAAGCCTTTCCGAAGTGCCTGGCGTAATGTTGTCCAGCACGGTGTCAACCAAATAAACGCGGAGAAAGATGGTCGACAAGTAATAGGCATTTCCAAGCATTGACAGCAGTATGCACAAGCATGACTTCCATCGGATCTCCGGAACGTGGTTGAAGCAAAATCGCATGAAAGAGAACAGCAAAGACCATCCCACAACATAGAGGGCGTCTTCGCTCTCATGCTTGATCTCCTCCCCAAAGGCGTTCGAAGGAAATATATCATCGTCCGTGATCATCACTACACTTCGGCCCCCAGCAGGATCTATGACGCAATTCCTGCTCCCAGTCAAGACAACGTGAAAATCCAGAGTGGAATCGAAGTTGTCATCATCAATGAGCTCCACCTCGAAAGACCGAACTGATTCGCCAGGCCCGAACTCGACGGTACCAGCTGCACCACGGTACCTGCAATGTTTACACTTTCTGACCACGCCCCTGGCTTCTTCTCAGCAGTATAACCGTCACAATACATCAACTCTTGAAACCGAGCAGCCCTCGCGATCTTTACCGATTCTGTTGTCAACGGGCACTGCGCTGCCAGCTCATCAAGATCCACTGAGACCCATCTACTTCTTAATTCCACTCACAGGTGTGCATTCGGCATGTTTATGCATAAATGAGAAGTGTCCGCGTGAGGTTATTAGAAGTGCCTGCATGATGATGTTGAACATTCATCATCTTGCCTGCTTTTCTGCTACCAGTTGCGCCACTCTTGCTCCACTATTCTTCCAGCTTCATCCCTAGTTCCGGAGGTTCTGGAGCAATGGGGGAACACTAAGGCGACTTGCAGTCAGAGTCACTTCTTGCCATCAATTGCCGAGTTCTCCCGTGTCTCCCACTGGACTGAGCAGTTGCCGCACAGCGCGCCAACGCGCGCCACCCGAATGACAGCGTTCTCCTCACAGCACTAGCCCTTCAGAACATCCCAGTTAGTACGCATGCTACGTCCTTCTCCGTGGTATAGAAGGTACTCGCGAAAAACTGCACCACATCATCGGTGTCAATCTGCTGCCTCACACCATGTCGCTTCAGTCCCGTTGCACTTTGCTAGTCGGGTCGGGGCCAGGAGCGTCCAGACACCAAGGCGGGCAGCACCGGCACTTCCAGCATTTTCCCTTGAGGGTGCCCCCGAAACTTCATGTCAAGCCGACTGAACGGGGCCTGAGTGTGGGTGTGCTGACTTGGCGGTGAGCCCGTCCTCAGGCAAAGGTATGTGAACAGAAACTTGTTGTGTGAGTTGTATCGAAAGACAAGCTTATAAGGTCATGCAGGGACCTCCTGGGGTTTGCTCCGGACTTCCCGACGCTGCAAGTTATGTCTGTGACGTAAGGAAGCGGGAATGCACGAGTGTTATTCAAAACGGGTTCAAACTCTTTGGTTTGCTCAAACAAGGTTCCACACCATTCACCAAAATAGCCTTAACTTTATATGACCGCCGCGGGGCCAGGAGAAGGCCATGGCCCCGCTGTTCCCGACATCTGCTGATACTTGTAGAGCACTCGTGCCGGACCCTCATGGGGTGCAAGCGACATTGCACCTGTGACCTCTGCTCAACCACTGCACAAGAAATTCAAGGGAACGTTTTATCCTTTGGACTAACATAGCGGCTGTCTCGCCCACATTGACATGGTATGTCTGCCTCTTCGTGCTGCCAGAGTGGCAGCCTATTCACTTTTATTTGCTACGCGCTCAATTATGCCATCTTCACTTCGGGCCATAGAAACTACAGCCTCGCGGCTGCAGCGCAGCGAATTATGCTAAATTCAACAAGAGCCAGGACAGATCAGTAAACATGGCAACGACAACGGCGCAATGTTACTGGTGCAATGACGTGCGGAAGGTGCCTTGACCATGGCACCTTCCAAGCCCCGGCCTCGGCACACTTTGCGATGCCATACACGAATGCAGCGTTCGTCTTTTCTCGATTCTTGTCCAATTCTCTCCACATTTTCACTCGGCATCACGAGACTGCCTCGCCGCCCGAGCCTGGCGAACTTGACCCGGCTTACTCGGCTTAGGAGCGGACAGCCTTGTGCCTCAAGCTGGTACTCGCCCTAAGCGACGTGAACATGTTGAGCTCAAATCTGGGGCTGCCATGTGCTGACAGGGGACATACCTTGATCGAGCAAGGAGGTCCCTTGACTTAACACACTGTGCGTGAAGCAGGGAAGACAGTGCAAAGTGCTGTAGGGTTGCTTCCAAAAAGATCCCTCCAGCATGACGGCGAGCTGGTACGTAAGAGGGCTGCAGCTAGAGCTTCCAGAATATGAACTCCAAAAATTCCGTCTGTCACGAAGCTTCTTTTTTCTGCCTCCGGTGCGGTGGCAAGGGTGGCAGCAGCTTGTGGGCCCCGAACTTGCACACTGCTTTGGTGGTGCAGCGCCTGGCGCGATGACTTGACACATCATCTAGGTTTTATGGTTTCTTTAGGACCTTTGGTTCTTGCCCAGGCTGCAACGCTGACGGACTATCTTCCGAGCCTTAGCCCAAGTCGCTGCTGTGCCCAGGCGCCGGGCGAGCCGTCTTAACTCGGCCTGGCGCGGGAACCGAACATCGCCCTTTGAGAGCGATTTCTCAGCTTCTCTGTCTTTAGGGTTTAGGGTTTAGGGTTTAGGGGCTCTTAATGAAACCCCGCGCAACAAGAGGTCACGGCAGAGTCCTTGCAACTACCTACCTCTTCCAGCAAGGGTCCGCGGCCATCTAGCACACAATCTCATCAGAACAGACTCGATGTCATAAGCACCCGGTCAAGATACACATAACGCAAAATGCACACATCACGGCTAACTGTTCGGGGTTGGAGTGCTGAAGCTTAGGTTGAAGGACTGAGTTGAAATGGGGGGGGTTGGGGGGCGGAGATTGGGAATTGGGATGGAAGTGAAAGGTGGGATAGAAATCGGCGCTGAGATCGGGTGGAGTAGAATTTGAGATAGGGTGCGAGCGACGAATCCGGTTTGGTTCAGGTTGCAGACCTCAACAGTCTCGGACATCTCAACAACAGTCAATATCAAAAAGCCAGTGTCAAGGAGAAAACACTGAAGACTTGAGACTTAACCAAATGTCATAAACACACATCTAGACTCACAGTGACTCGCAGTGTAACCATTAAACAGTTGATGCAAGAAACAGAAATACCAAACACACATGTACAGTGTTGAAAGTGCAAACACAAGTAACAATACTACAATAGAAAACGGCAAAGGAAATTGCATGTTCTGCTCATTAGTTCTTCATTGCAGCTGAGTCTCAGCAAACCATCATAACTTGTATATTTATGTATATGTATATACATAGGTGTGTGTCTAGCATTGTTGGCTTTCTGATTGATTTGTCTGATGCTCTAGTGTTTTGTTGTGTAGCCCATGAGTCTCCTCTTCCACCTCCCTCGCGCTCGGCTTTGAGGCTTTCAAGGGTTCATGGTTTAGTGAGGCTTAGCGGCTTAGCGGGTACTTGAGACTGTTAACACTGGAAGCAGCACACGACACCTAAGTCAGCGTCAGCTCGACCCCGTCCCCCTTTTCGGATGCCTGTGGGGAGTCGGTTGCGGGCGTGCTGGACCAGAACTCACGGGAGAAGCCCGTGGCGCCTGGCAGAGCAAAGCCAGCAAAGCAACGTCACACTGAGACGTGGCCAATGACAAATGGAAGTCTCTCGACCACAAGCTATGGCAGCTACAGTGTGCAAGCCTGCAGTTCAAGGCCCCTGCCCCGCCCCTGCCTATCTTCGCTCGACACAGGCATTTGTGCACGTCAAGATATGGTGCATCCTCAGCAGAAAATCAGTGGAACAGTGGTCATGGGTCCTATATGAGAAGCTTTTCTGGACATACGCAAGGAATGGCACAAGCAAATGCCACGACCCACTCCCCGCCTTCAGAGCCTCTCCGAATGGAAGCACCGCTGCACGAAGCACATCCTAGCAAGACTCATGCATGTAAGGTGATGTGGAGACCTTCGCCAAGAACGCAAGATCTCGACGGACCCCAGATTCCCCGAGCCCTAGCTAGACTGAGTACTGAAGCACAGCGCGTCCTCGGCAAGGCGCACAGCCTCACCTTGTCTGGAGGCACCAAACACGGCTAAGTCAGGACCTCGCCAAAATTCGGAGCGGGCCGCTCTGAAAAAGCCGTGACAGTGGTGGTTCTCAAGCCATATTCGAGATGCCGGCCTGCATTCACCTCGAGCAGCCACGCCTTGGGCGTGGCATCCTTGCGATCTTCGAAGACAAAGTCCTTAACACACAAGCGCTGAACATCGTCTGTGGCACATCGTGAATTGCATACAAGCGTCCGCACCGAAGAGCTCGAAGGACTGCGGAAGAGGCGTGAAGCCTCAAATGAAATGGTGGGGACAGGATGGGACAGGAGGTCAAGGCCGAAGTCTGGGAAACCACTGGCCTGGCGAGGCAGCGGCCGCCGCCAAAGCCTGGCCAAGAGAGCTGCCCATCTCTTGTAGAAGGACCTGCAAACCGCACGCCATGGAAATGCATCATGTCAACAACATAAGGTTTGCACCTGCTTTAGTGTGCCCCCCCCCCCCCCCCCGAAAAACCGTCGAAGCAGGTTCTCCCTCTCTTTAAATGGCCACGGGTTTTACATGATGTTAAAAGGGAGGAGATTGTATATGAGTTTGAAAGGGGCAGCGTTGCCCGGCAATTGATTATAAACGAACCGCATGAAACTTTCTTACGACATCCGTGACTTTGAGGATATCACCAGCGCCACCCGAGTCAGTCACCATGTCCCGAATGTGTCCGACTAGCCCAGCCAAATCGACTTTAAACAGGGGCCCCCCTCTAAAGCAATGCCGCTACAACTCTCACACAGGCTACAGACTACAGCCAGCTGCCAGAAACACTCAGAAAACAGCACCCATATTGCTCTCGTGTTATTCGGATTTTGCTCGTATGACCCAAATTTGGCCTCAGAATCCAGGCCAGCCTCCTTCGCACAGGAAAGACATCTCTCATAACTTGTTGCGCGCGTTTTGTCGCTACATCTTCTGATTGTCTCCTACCTTTTTTCTCTCTTGAGTCAATCTCGCAATAGAGATCGTCCTCCACCAGTTCGCGCCAAAGAAGCACCTGCTCAACCTCCTCGTATCCCGGCTGCGCCACCTGCAGCCACATGAACCAATGCACCAAGACCGCGGAGTGGTCCACAACAAAACCGTCTAGATACGCAACCATATTAATCTCACAGGTTCGTGGAAAGCCTAAATAGCATACAATCTGAGGGAGGTCAATGTCAATGTCGGCTTCAACTGCAGGCGCCCCGCTGTAAGCGCACCTGCACGCAGTGGTTGGTGAGGTGGGCGGCAACAATCGTGGGATCATCCTCAATCCAATTGTACAGCTAGGTGGTATTGTGCGTGTTGGCAGGCTGTGATGCGCCCCAGCAAGGACATGATGTGTCGCCACATAAACATGCAACCCACTCCTTATAACGTAACTGGCTTTTTGAAGCTTCTAAAGGATTACGTTCTTCAGCGCCAGGGCGCAGTCCATGGCTTAGATGCTGTCAGTACGACGTGGAGCTCTTCCTGGATCGAAATCGTTTGCAGCCGCGACCGTGACTTCCGAGCTCTCTAGAACTCAATCACTCAAGCTCTGGGCATAGCCTTAACTTCCACCCAAGCATCATGGAGCCAAGCACGGCTGAAGCCACACTTAGGACATCCGACCAGGAGGAAGTGCACGCGCCTGAGGTTCCGCATGGGGCTTTCAAGTAGGAGTGCGGGGTCCGGAGATCCCGTTGGGTGTGCATCTTGCTTATGCGTTGCAAGGAGCCCCTGCATGTCCCTGCTTTAAATGAACCGCCAAGCTGCACATGGAACTTGCGACCTCTATGCAAAAGTGGCGGGACGACGTAGGGCTGAATGACCCATTCGACCACACCCTTCGCGGGACATGGCTCTCATGCTGACTCTCCCGGTCTCAGAGGCACGCTACCACTTTGATGCAATACGTTCAAGGAGCCCTTCCTTGCATCAGTGGTGTGTGGAACTGCTGTTTGACAAACTCTGAGCGAATGAAGCACGGGGGCCTGCTCTAGCACTGCAGATCTTACGCATTCCGCAATCTCCTCGGGCTTTCTGACCAGGTGGAGGTGCTCTCCGCGATTGGCATTACCAGCTTTCACAGCCAAGATCCTGCACATCTCAATATAAGTAGCAGCATCACAATGGTGCTTGGGAGCCGTTGTTAAGCATGCATGCCGCTGACTTTGTCTGATCATAGGATGTGGACCCACTGAAGTCACTGAAGTCCTGAAGTCAGCTTCCTGGGTGCTGGCCCACTTTCGAAATCGCCCTGGCAGCATGCGCAAGTCCTTCACCAGCTCAGGCGTCAGACTTTGCACAGATGCCGATTTTGTCTTGCTGCTTCTGTCAAAAAACTGCTCCCACCCATGTCCCGAGGGCACTTCTATGCACTTTGGAGACGTTGACGCAGATTATCGTCAACAATGTGGAGCAAGTGACACACTTTCCTTTTGTTTTTGTTCGTTCAGGAGTTGCATTTAGTTGTTTGTCTA